CGGGAATCGAACCCATGAACATGCATTACCATTGCAATTCTCTACTGCCTGTGCGATCAAATTCGCAAGGTAGTGCTGTACCACCTGAACTAAAGTCCACATGAGCTCGATCCAAGCTGAAATATACTTAAAGTGCACATGACACGTATTAGAAAATCACTTTTATCCGAAAGATAGCACGCTGACAAGCACTTTTGTAAAGAAATAGATTTTGAATTGTATTTTCTGATTTATAGACATTTAAAAATTGAAAAGAAGCAGAAATGAAGTGGAAATATAAAGAAACACAAGTATCGCAAAGATCGTTGGTTCAATTCCCGTTTTTTCAGGCCAAGTGGATTGTTTAACTTCATTTTTCAATTTCATTCCTATCTAACTATTTTTACGTGTAAACACTTATAATTCTGAATTCCGCTTTTTTCAACGAGTTACTGTGTAAATTGCAAATAAATTTTATTGAAAACAATGCTTCAATTTCTTGCGTGCTTATACTATGTGTGGTTATAATACTTTTTTCATCTAGATAATCTATACCCATAGCGTTGTTGTTTATAGTTCACCCATCCCCAATGCCATAAGCTTAAGGATTTCAACGTGGATGAAGATAGCAGGCAATCAAAGATAGCCAAATGTGTTTTATAAGCTGAGTATAATAAGGTGGCACACCGATTGGGTTTATATAAACACATTTGGCTATCTTTGATTGCCTGCTATCTTCATCTACGTTGAAATCCTTAAGCTTATGGCATTGGGAATGGGTGATAAACCCCATCGGTGTGCCACCTTATTATACTTATAAAAGACATAAAACTTGCTATAAACAGGTAATTAAGATAGTGGATCTTTTYCCTGATTCGACAGAGCGACGGATTCGACCGCGAGGCAAATAACATACACCGACAGTTCTAAGGGAAATGATTATTTGTGYATTCGTTTTCATTGATTCATAATTTAGAATATAGGCTGAAATTTTATATTCAAGAAATATAAAAACGGCCGAGCATCTCTGTTATCTGATATAAAAACGGTGCAAAAACACAAAAGAAGTAAGCCAAGGACCACACAAGTGCAGTGAGTGTTAGTCTTGCTTCTCGAGCACGCGTTCTATCTAAAAAACTTTTTTTTCTGTGTCTGAAAAATATCCATTCGGAGTTGTTAGTCTACCAAAAACGCTTTCTACGAGTTAATGCGACAATCAAAAATCTAGAGAAGAAATTCCATTACAAAACAACTGTAGTTTATTTTTTACGCTCGAAAACAAAATAAAAAAAGATCTTCTGAAGAAGGCTAAAAGAATATTGGATTGCGGGCTAGCAGCCGTTTTTTAATCGTGAAGAAGTACACAAGTTTGTTAGGTACTTCAGGTCTTAGACAARCGATATTAACGTTATATGAATATAGGCGTAATATTGAGGTAACTTGTAATATAATATGTATATAGGGGGTAATTTTCTTCAACAGATAAAAATWCACTCAGTCACTTCAGGGTTCAGTGACTTCAATAAAACAATAAAAGCAAAGAGCAATTGAAAATTTTGTGAATTATCATGTTGTAAATAGGCCAAACTTTATATTTGTTAATTTTCTCGTTTTGTCTTTTTAATTGATCAAGCAACATCATCAACAACAGCCGCGACAACAACAACATCAACAACACCTAACAATAGCAACAACAACAACAACAACACTATAGCAGCAGAAACAACAGCAACAACGATGTCTGAGTCGTGCCTAAGAGATTATATATAAACAACTAACCTGTACTAAAMGTGGGTGGCCTGAATGTTACTTGGGTGTTTTCTATGTTTAATGTATGGTGGACTGGRGAGGACTCTCGTAGATCCCAAGAAACAACAGACCCATCCTCCTGAAAAAAAAAGCGTGATGACGCCATTGACGACAAAAAAAGTCAAAATGCAAACGAGAAAAAGACAGCAATGAAGGTGGTTAATGACGAAATCCAAATAGTTGAATTGGAACTAGATTCTTACCAAGCCAGCAAACGCAATTGTTGCTTTGGATGGGCTTAAACAGCAGCAAAGTGGCACAGATTCACAAAGAAGAACTCTGTTCAAAATATAAATCAGTATGTCAATCATGGCAAATTAATTAATGACAATGGTGAGATGGGATTGTCAATAGTACAAACTCAGTCGNTGTCTCCCAAAAATCCAACCCTTACGTCCTCGTCGTGGGAGATGGGCAACAGAGTAATTGTACTCTGGCAGATAGGGCAATGGTTGTACTCTTGATGTCTGCACTGATACAGCGACAAGTTATCGAGTACATAGTATAGTATCAATAAATCTACGACAGTTCCTACAGAGAACTYTGATTGATTATCATCTTCTGCGARCAACATAGACTCAAAACTACAACATCAACAAACTTATTATTATTCATTACCTATTATTATAATTATTTATTTATWAACCAATCTATTGATATGACTAAGAAGACCAAGAAGAACTTTACAAAGAAATTTAAAACTTGGAAAATAGGAACAATCAATATCCGTACAGGAAAAGAAGCAGGGAAACTCTACTCTGTAACAAAAGAGGTTCACAGAGCAGGTCTAGACATATGTGGCCTACAGGAAGTCCGTCAATTAAAATCTGGGACTGAAACCATAGACATTGATGAACACAGCAAATATGAACTCCATTGGTCTGGATACATCACCAAACGAGAAGCTGGTGTAGGCATACTGATTAGAGTATGCCCAGATATTATTGTTGAGGAAATTAACTACATCAATGCCAGATTATTGACTGCTGCCATCATATACTATGGATACCGACTCAAGATCATTGTTGCATATGCCCCTCCAAACTGTGAAAATGAAATGAATACAAGAACTCACCAAAAGAACTTATTCTACAACRATCTACACAAATATACTGTACGTGACCATAAACATCAAAAGATTGTGATCCTAGCTGATATGAACGCTACAACTGATTTAGCTCTGAAGAAGTCAAGATTTGATGGTAGTGATATTAACAGCAATTACATCGATCATATCARCAATGACAATGGTGAGAGATTAATAAACTACTGCAAAACCCATGGCTTGTGTATAAGTAACACTTTCTTCAAACATCGAAACATCCATCGTTACAGCTGGTACTCAGGTACTGGCATACGTAAAGTCCTAGATTATATTCTTGCAGATAAACATCTTCAAGAATGCATGACAGATTGTAGAATACGACGTGGATATGATTTCAATACAGATCACAAACTACTGGTTGCAACTCTACGAACACCATGCAACAAAGCAGCAAGATACAAACATCGCAAGACTCCACTACCGAGAACCAAGAAAGTTGATCTCAAAATGCTTCTTATACCAAAGATMCAAGATGAATATACAAGACATGTGAACTCTGAGTTAGAACTAACATCAACCCAAATTACTGTACAAGATATGTCAGACCATCTCATTAAAACCCTGAAAGAAATATCTGAAAAGGTGTTACCATTGAAGAATCAAAAACAGCCTAAACAAAACGTTCTATTTAAGAATGATACAGAATTGAATACTCTTCTAGATCAAAGAGCCCAGTCACATTGGCCAAGAGAGTCCAAAGAATACAAGAWACTTACAAAGAAAATTAAAAAACGTATCAAATACCTAAAAAATGAACGTTTAAAATTAGAAGCTGACTCCATCAATCAATTTGCAGCAAAACGTRAAATTGAAGATCTTTTCAGGGCAGCTAAAGATAACACCATTTTTAAGAAAACAAAGACCACAATCAAATGCTCACCAACTAAACTGACAACATTCTTCAAAGACCACTTTAATCCTGTAATACCAACAAGTGAACCAATGGAACGRACACACCATCCAAGTTTCATTACAGAACTCCAAAGGATAACAGAGGATATAGAAATCAACAATGAGCCACCAACAACTACTGAAATAAAAGAAACCATCAAGTCACTGAAGAACAAAAAAGCTGCCAATGATATAAATGCTGAATTGATAAAATATGCAGCCGAATCACCCAAACTAGTACAAGAACTTAAACAACTAATTGATATAATCTGGAACACAAAGACAACACCAAGAAGTTTTAGCCACAGTAGACTAATGGCTTTATGGAAAGGTCCAGAAAAAGGTCCAGCTAAAGATCCAGGATCCTATAGAGGACTACAGATTGGTTCAACCCTATGCAAGATCATTGTAATGATAATCCTATCCAGGTTAAAGGAATGGTATAACCAGCAGCTTTCCTGCCACCAACAAGGCTTTAGACAAGGACATGGCACTGCTGACGGAATCTACATCACAAAGAGAGTACAACAAATCTCAGATCAAACGCAGTTACCAATATTTGTACTGTTTATTGATCTTACAGCAGCATTTGATCATATTATCAGAAAATGGGTATTTCAATCAATCTACATGCGCTTCCCAGATGATGCAAACACAACCTGCATACAGATCCTTGAAGCCATATATGAACATACAACAACAGCACTGTCTGAAACACCTGATGACATATTTACAACCAGCTCTGGARTGAGGCAGGGTGGTCCAGAAAGTCCATGCCTATTCAACCTGATGATGGATTTTGTGATGCGAATTTACATCGATGAGTGTAAAAAGGCAAACCTCAAATTTGTAGAATTTAAATACAGAGTAAGATCAACCGCCACTGCTAGGGAATCTAGAGGCCAAAARACATACATGGGAACAAATACAAATAGCTGGGTCGGATATGCTGATGATATCGCATTATTTGTCCTTAATAAAGACACTCTAMAAAAAGCCCTTGACCTACTCGACAAGACTCTAGATCTATTCAACTTAAAGATCAATGCTAAAAAGACCAAATCTATGATTTTCAACTACAAGTATCTGCAGACCACAAATCCTTACCCAAGCTCGATTGTGAAGCTTCACAATGTAGACATCATGAACGTAGAGACCTTCAGATACTTGGGAAGCGACATTAGATACGATGAACCAACAACAGGCAATGCAGAAATCACACTTCGTATAAATCTTGCAGAAGCGAAATTTCAAGAACTAAAACCAAAGCTTCTGAACTTTAAAATCAGCCTAACAATACGAATGTTATTTCTAAACACATTTGTAAGAAGCCGACTAACATACGCAGCTCAAACATGGAATTTAAACATCGCCCAAACAAATATAGTTGACAGCTGTTATTATGGCATGCTAAGGAGAATGATCAAGAATGGATTCGCCAGAAAAGATGGAAAACAACACAGAACAACTGATGATGACGATGATGACGACTACCAAAATACCGAATTCAGATATCTCTATACAAACAACGACCTATTACGCATCTGCAAAACAACATCGATAACAGAATATATAACTACACTGCAAGCAAGATATGTAGCTCATATTGCTAGACGATCCAATCTGGATAAATCAAAACAGCTCCTATTCAATGTGGATAGAAGTACGAAAAAAGGAAGACCAACTGAAACTCTTGAACAGAAAGTCCTTAAAGAACTTAACATGACAGCAGACGAGTTCTACAAACAAGCACTGAAAGGAACTTTGTAGATGAGATCCTAAGCTAAGGATCACTCTAAGTCTACCAGAGTAGACACGAGCTAAACAATATATATAT